TAAGGAAAAAGTAGAAAGCTAAGATTTTAGAGAAGAAGGAATTTGATTTTCAATGGTTTACAAGCAAACTTCATAAGAATCAAATAAAAGTATAACATTCAGTTAAAGGAAATACAAGAATGGTTTAGAAGAGTGGTATCTTCATCACGAGTGTCACTCGGTTAACTCATGTGAAAAATGACAAGACAATAGTAAAAAAAGGAATATATCATTTGAGCTTTTTAAATTGTTTTTCAATACACATTTTATGAAAGTTTCTTGCAGCATAATTATTGTTAAAAATAATTTTAAATAAATTTCCACTCAATAGTAATAAGTTTTATTTTATAAGAGGGTTTAAACACCACAGTAGAAACTTAAATTGTTCAGTTTCTGTACACAGTATTAACTTCAATAAACTTATTTACACTAAAATACAATAAAATAACAGTTACAAAAATAGGTTTTTTCTATTAATTTGTTTTCCAGTCTTGGGAAATGGACTTAAAAAACAAAATGGGAATTTTTATATTATCATTTTTTAACTAAGATTTGACCAGAAAAAAAAAGCTTTATCAAAACCAGAGATGTTTTTCAGGTTTTCACTTATAACAGTTTCATCCATTGTTTGTTTAAAATATAATGTTAAAATGACTTAAGTTTATGAATGAAAATTTTACAAATGCCTTAACCCATTCACCGTGGCTAGGACGTATATTTTCCTCAACCCATTCACCGTGGCTAGGACGTATATTTTCCTTAACCCATTCACCGTGGCTAGGACGTATATTTTCCTTAACCCATTCACCGTGGCTAGGACGTATATTTTCCTTAACCCTTTCACCGTGGCTAGGACGTATATTTGACTCCTTGACTGCCACAAATGTTTCCCATTGCCAATACTGTTTATGCCTTCCTCCGCTGAGTCCAGGTTCATCATCTTGACTATCATATATATGTCCCAGTTGCAGTGTGAGGGGTGGGAGCACTAGGAAATATACATCCCAATCACAGTGTAAGGGTTAATATACATAAAGCCATGCTAAGATTAATAGTAAAAAATATTTCTAGTCCAAATATCAAACTAATAGTTAATTATTACTACATAATGGTTAATAGTTAGTAAATCTCCTGCACTAAAGTCTATTGTTCATTTAACTTACAGTTCTGTTATACCTGTAGGTAACGATGATTTCTCATAATTAACAGAAAAATTTCATATCATGAGCCATGTAAAATAATTTTATTTTTGAAATACTTTTTAATTGAACATAACGTTTACTCGGCAATCATAAACAATATTGCTGTGTCTTTGCTCTCTGTCATTTTTAAGTAACAAAACATTTCTAAACCATTAGAAGATTAGTGAAATTTAACATAAAAGTGAAAGTTCCCTCTCAGAGTATTGGGCAGGGGGAGTTTTCACCAGTGGACACAGAGACGATCCCCATTACCAACAGAGTAAAAAGACAACTGACGCAGATCGTTGTCCAATTCTATCTCCATGTTTGCTGCCTGAAAAACAAATTTTAAACTAAGTTACTTGTAGAGATCAATGTGAAGCTAAATATTAATAATATTAGAACAGTCTTAAGAATAACATTTTAAACTTGTGTTACAATGGTTTTAACCCTACATGCATGGGATTGGTCCTCTGGACAAAGCACGTTTACTATAATTCCAAATTTACTTAGTGTATCTTCTCAATATTTGATAAGCTTTTAGTAAACATTAGAAGTCAGTT